AGGCACTCCGAAGAAGCGTACAGTCGGATCACTACAATAAATATCGGGGGAGCTGTTCTTTATATACACTGCACCGCTGCGCCATTTTCCTGTTGTTATGGCTTGGCCCAATGAGGATAGGCGCATGAGGGGTAAAGCCTGATTTGCGATGAATTTGCTGCTTTGAAGGGCCTCAAGCATGGGTATCCCAGAGCGCGCAGCGCGTCCGAATGTTTACCACCAACCAGCGTCGTTACATGGACGCAATCTCGCAATCTTGCTCAATTTCAAGCAGTCCACGAGACTCCCAATGATAGCTGGCGCATACTCAAGTTAGGGGTCTGGTAAAGAGGTTTGGCTTTCAGCTTGAATCGAACAGCAGTTGTTCATGGGACTGGCCGGAATAAGATGGATACCACTTGGTTGAACGTTCGTGTAGGCATGCCGCCATTGAACGAACCATTGAACTCATCGAAATTATTATAAATAAAATGTATTTGTCACTATCAAAAATCCTGTTTACGTTCTTTGGCTTTTTGTTGGTTGGTGTGTTTGTGGTGTCGACTCCCCGTCCTTCCAAGCTCCATCTTCCTCGTTTGATATACGCACAGGTATCTCCTCCACCTCGGGTAACCCCTTCATCTCCACACAATTAAAAAAAAGAGTATCCATCCTTCCCTCCCAAGAAAGAAACCCCGCCCTTTCGCAAAACCTCCAATCATCGTGTCCATTCCAAAACGTCGGTTGGGTCCGGGTGTGGGGGATCCGGCAAACAAAACGAACAAGTGGTGTTGTGTCAATGCTGCTTCAGGAACCCTTCGGAAGCGCTCCTGCCAAATTCGCGCTTGTGATTCGCCCGCGCCTTTTTCAAGTCGGCAGTGTACTCTTTGTGAACCATCTCAATATACTGCTGCGGTTCGCAACGCGACTTGTGGGTCGAGTAGAATTGCTTGTATCCTCTGGAGAAATTGCGTAAAAACGTCAGCACAAGTACTCCAAACCAATTGGATGCCATCTAACCACAAAGCTTACCCTTTCAAAACATAAATCTCGGGGTAGTACAACATTGGGTATTTGTCCAAGTTGGCGGACCGGTCACGCCTGCGCATGTACGTGGCCCTAATATCCAATACAGTGCAAAGTCAGCACCTCGCCTTAGACAGCTCATGGTCTTAAACCACAAACTCACATGGTGGGCGCACGGTGCGAGGAAAACTCGCAGTGGAACACAATCACAACCTTCCGATCCATGACAGGGTTTTCAAAGAACATCTTGTCCAACTGATCCTTGGTATTGATGTTGCGCGCCCCGGCAATGTGGCCGCCTTCGTACTCGTACGGGAAACGGCAATCGATGATGTGGTACTCGTCAATCTTGTCATCGTATTGGCCGTCAAGAAGTTTCGCCAGCTGGTGTGAAAGGTCGGCACCCGATGAGAATGGCAACATTCCAATCTTATAATAGTCGATCGCGTAAGGATGTGGAGCTGCCACTCACCGTATCGGATTCAATTCTCTTGTGCGAGTCACCCTTTCCAGCCTCCCATGGCAACGCACAATCTTCTTCATGACCATATGTTGCGGCCAACGAAGTGGGCCAACTGCAGGCCGATTCTGACTCTTCGAGGGCCTTGCCGCCGAAGCTCTGCGTGCGCCTCATCTTGACTGGTGGTTCTTGTCCGCGCGGGACTTCAGCCGTCACACCCATAAGCATCGGGTCCGAAAGACGGGATGATCTCTTGACGTTGTCTGAGTCGCGGCAGCCAGGTTTGGTGACGGTGAAGGCAAGTTCCGATTGCTGAATAATGTAAAAGCAGATGGATCATGTCAATAAAGACGAATTTCGACGGGTCAGCTACTTTGGTAAAGTGCCTTACTTGACGCTTGAAGCATGGCCGAGGCAGTCGCTTTTGCACGGGAATCACAGGTTCAGACACTCCCCGACGTTGATTCCAATGAGCCATATTTGGTGGGCTAACCCGATGTAAAAGGTTAGTCACTAGTTATTGCACCAATAGGATGATACAAAATACATACCGAAGATACAGCCCCTTGCTCCTGACAACCGGACATTTGCTTGTCAAAGTCGTTCGGTCCTCTTTCGGAGCATCAAAGTAGCCTGCACCTCGTTTCTCACTGCAACAACAAGTAAACTTGTCATGAGTACAAGGCAGTACTTGTACTGATTACTAACATGTCGGAAATCTTACCCTCTCCGGTCACGAACTGGCGAAATGTCCATCGGATCCTCATCCCTTGGGGAACAAGCCTTTGGAACCTCATCAAACACGGGCGTCGGCGACAAGCGCGGCCCAGCAGACTCGCAGGTCTCGAGTCGCGCCGAAGCGGTAGCCGTACGAATGAAGGGCCGCGGACGAGGTTTCATTGGGAATTGAGGAGGCTTGGTCGCATTCTGGAAGAGCAGGTTGGCGGAACTCGACGACCGCCTGCGCGTTGGTGTGGAGTCCAAGGGCGGAGGCGAGTTGGGATCGTCGAATGAGCCATAAATGCGACGCGGTGGAGATGTTTCTCGTGGGCTGTGTGGGAGAGGCAAACTGGGTCAGCATGTATATGGTGATGCAGTCTGGTAGTAGTTTGGGGCATGATGGCCATCTCAGGCTTGCTTTGCATGTATTTGCATCAGGTACGGGCACATCGGGTCAACGCAATCTCGATGAAACACACGTTCAAGCAATGGAGTTGGGAACAAACACATTTGTTTACGGTGGAGCCACCAAATTTGTCCCAATTATCCCATCCACTCCATCACCGCACCCGCGTTCCTTCCGAGCATCTGATTGTTTCCATCCACTGCCTCTCGACCATTTGAAGATGCTCACCTTGGAGGGACCACGTTGAGGTTGGATTCCAAATCCACGGCCAAAATCGTCATGGGTGATTTCACTTGAGACCGTTCCACCGTGTCAAGGCCAGAAGCAAGCTCCAAGGACGTGCGTTTAGAGCTGGAGGGATCAGCGAGCGAAGAGCGAGGACGAGGCAGCCCGCTTGGCATCCTTGCCGAAATCAAAGAATCGCTGCTAGTGGAAGGACAAAAGATAAGCAACAGATACGTTGATAAGTACACTGGAGCCAGACAACCACCAGTTTGCACCCGGCCGAGGAAAACGCGAGTGACGCGAAAAACTTGGACCAGCTGACACTTTGTTATTTACGCTCAATCCCCTCCCAAAGCAGTACTCAAACGTTGACGCGTTTCAGAGCTGTCTGAACTACGTGAATCGACCTGCTGCTGGAGCAAAGCCAACCCCACCATTCCTCACACCAGCGCACACAGTACATACCTGAAAGAGCCTGCAAGCATTCTGAAGAAGCACCGAGTCCGACACGAGAGCGGCTTACCGTTTGAACTTGTTTGATCGATATCAAAGGCGCCCTTCTCTCGTTTCCCAACGAAGAAGCAGCGACGCGACGGGTTGCCGATGACGGAAGTTTTTTGAGTTCCGTGGGAGCGGAAGGTGGAAAGGCACGACGTGGGCCCGGCGAAGGTGACGGTCAACTTGTCGTGTTGGAGTGTGTGTGTTTGCAAAGCTTTCGCTGTGCAAAATCTGGGGTCGGAAGATGGAAGTGTGAAATCGGTGTTGCACGCGTTTGAGGAAGCAGAAGGTCTTACCGCGCGGGTCGCGATCTGGAGTGTTGGAGTGCTGGCTGTGGGTGAGGGAGGGTGCTGTGAAGTGGGTTAGGATGGTCGGGAGGGTGTTGGGAGGAGGAGGGGGACGGTTTTGAGAGCGAGCGATGGACCCAGCAGCAGCAGGAAGGAATGAGCCCAGCACAGTCTGCAGCAGAAAGAGTTGGTCTGCAGCTTCCATGTCCGGACCCTCGACCTCTGCTTTCGTGTGTGTGCGTGGAGACCGCGTCCTACTTTGTAGTGTTACGTGAGCGTAAGACCCTGCAGACGGGGTCTCGTCCATGATGAAAACCGCACAGAAAGAAAGAGGGCGGAGTTGTCTCACCCCCTGTCCGAACCTGTCCGAACACTGCTTGTACACCCCTCTCCCCTCCGACAAATTCCAAATCTTTTTTTCCATCTGTGCTCCCAGAGTACGTCTGCTACAGTACCACTCGGACTTTATGAGTGACCTGATTTGCGGAGTGCCAAGGTGCGTTGCGCACACTGACGGCATTGAAGAACCCGGCGTGAAAATTTCAAGGGAATTTCTTCCAAGGACGAAAACCCAAGTATTGGCGCGCAACCTGCTTCGTCAAATGAAAAAACAAATGAAACCCTTCAATTCTTCGTTTGCGGGGTAGCTCCAGGACGGACTCTACGCAGCGGGTGTTTCTGTATTTCAAGGGGAGCGGGTTCGTATTTGCTGAACTCACCGTACCTTGTTGTGCGAGGGCTGGGTTCCCCGCAATGGATGCTGCGAGGGAAAGTTCAAAAAGGGCCAACGGCATCTGCAAACCACTGTACAGCAGCAGGACCGCAAAGTGCTTGGAGATCTATCTTTGCATTGCATAGCAGCCAGAAGACGCAAACCTATCTGGTATTGATCGTGTGATTCATGTCTTAAAGGAAGGCTTAAGGTTTTCAGTTATTTTGCGATTTTCTCGGCGGAAATCAAAGCAACACATGGTACACTGACAAGGCGACGTGGGCCAAGGGAGAGCAGTTAACCTGTGTGCAAGTGACCTCCACTGTTTATATAGGACAAGACGCGAACACTGGGGATCCTCCATGCACCTATCGGTACTCATGTAGTCGAGGGCTGTGATGATGTGATGCACGCTTGATGTCGCCCACTCCTACCCACCAACATAACTGCACAGAAGGTGCTCAGTGTGCACCCAACATGCATGTGGCGATGAATACCTACCAAAGTATTCTCATATTTGGATTTCCAGGACAACTGGAAAATATCTTTCCTGCCCGTTCAGTTCATTGGATCTGACCAAAAGGTGCAACACAGATGAATCCAACCTGACCTGCCACTACAGAAGGAGCTCTGGCAAAAAACAACAAAAAGATCGTTCTTAGCGGAGTTCGGATCTCGGTGATCCATTGTCAGTGGCTGGAATCGAACCAGCGTCAACGCGGATTCGCAGTAGCGCACCTCCGTGCAATCCCACAACGCGGCGTACTACCACTATACTACACTGACACGCTGGAAAGAGGATTATATGCTGATAGTTTAATAGCAATGGTCTCTGCCACGCATTCCTCAGATGGTAAACGGACATTGAAAGGCTGTCGCCCAGACTCTTTATCATGAATAGAAAGCAGATATTGCTTCAATTTAGCAACTTTGTGAAGACGAGCGCAAAACCAAAGCTGGATTGGTTGGGTACGGGAAAGAGAACGACACTGCCAGTGACGGTAAAACAGAGATTTGGGATGAAAGCAGGGATGACAATCGATAGTACGCGCAAGCCCGTACACGGGCATTTTTATTAGTTCTCATAAGACCGCCCTTTGGTCAAAAGCGACTGCTCCTCGGTGGACCGGGGTGGGAGTCAGTGGAGTCGTCAGACGAGAGACGGATATGTGGATACCCAAGGCTTGTCCAATAGTGCCCAGCCACCGTCGGAATGAATTTGTTTACGGCGCCAGAACTTCCTCGAAATCTCAAAAAGGGCAGAAAGGCCCCCAAAGTAAAGGTTAAAGAGGTCCACTGTACTGGGTCCATCGGCAACGACAAAAAAGTAATCTCCGGCCACGGAAACCTGTCAAGTTCATCGCCCGTTTTGTAAATACCGCACTAGAACATACCCTCCCACGAAGAGAACTCTTTGGTTCGAGTGGGCTCTCCTCCGAAAATGGCCCCTCCCGCGAACAGAGCCTCCCAGCCAACCCACCTCCACGCTCACCACCAGAACAACAACCAGGCTCCCGTCCCTGCCTTCCACCCAGTCCACCTTCCCGCTGCCAGCAGCCCGCCAAAGTTTCCTTCCTTCGGAAAGGGTGCATTACCGCCCCCAATTCACCCTAAAGTTCGGGAACTTGCTTCCCAGCTCGACTGGGTGCCAGGCTCAACAACCAATCACTCCGAGTCTGTCGAAAAAAAATCCAAAAAGGAAAATTCAAAGGCAAATGAGAAAAAGTCAGAAAAGGCTGCGGTTTCTGAGGCTGCTGCCGCTGCTGCCGCCTTTGCAGCGGCAATAGCGGCGAAAGGGGGTGATCTCGACTCGGATCCTGCGGGATGGATGGCGGACGTTGTTCGTCGAGCGCAAGAAGGGGACGCGAGAGCGCAAGCGCTGTACGCAGTCTGTTTGCAGACTGGCTCCTTAACTCAAAGAAATGAACCAGAGGCGCTCAGATGGCTCAGTTTGGCAGCATCAAGAAGCGGAGGGCCAACGCCTCCAGCTCCTCCCGATAGAGAACCGAAGGAAAATACTCCTACCTTGTTTGGAACCGCTGGGACGCAAGAGAACGGGCCTGTTTTCACGTTTGGGTCGAGTACTACCCCGGTTTCGTCACCTACAAAATCTCCCGCGAAGCCGTCTACATCCGCTGACGTGTCTTCTGCTGCATCATCCCCGGCCAAACCTGCTCCACTTGATGGTATTTTGTCTTCGTCCACTTACGCGCAGGAATCCGGAAAGCAACCACAGGATCGATATCTCGCCATCATCTGTCATTTACTCGGCGAATGGTATCGGCGGGGAGTTGGAGCAGCCCCAAATCTGAATACTGCATTCCGTTATCTCAAACGAGCGGCAAATCTGGGTCATGCGGAGGGATTGAATAGTCTGGCGGGGATGCATGAGCGAGGCGAGGGTGTCATCAGGGATGACGCCGCTGCTTTTGCTATGTATATGCGGAGCGCTGAAGCGGGAAATATTTTGGCCCAGTTCAAAGTCGGTCAGGCGTACGAAAAGGGGAAGGGTAAGCGTCGTTGCGGAGCTCAGAATACACAGGCCCAAACTCAATCTCCCATGAGCCAACCGCTCACGCTCTCGTCGCAAACAAAAACAGGTACTCAACTCAATTACGCCCGCGCAAAGTCATGGTACCGAAAAGCAGCGGCCAAAGGGTATTTTCCTGCTTCTGTGCGTCTAGCGATTCTTTCACTGGACCCTGCGTACGAAACACTAGACAATCTCGTGGCTGCTGCAACTCGCATAAACACACCTCGGTCGCTTCATGATCTTGCAATTGCGTACTCCTCAACGCGCCATGGCGCCACGCCAGACGCGCAACAAATGCGAACATGGCTTCGGCGAGCAGCGCAAGCAGGCCACGTTCGCTCGCAATGGTTGTTGGGGAAATTGTACCAGGATGGGACCGCAAGTGCCGGCGTCAACCTTCAGCGCGCCTTTTATTGGTTTCACCGGGCGGCTCTGCAAGGGTTCCAGCCTGCTCAATGGGCGGTGAGCGGAATGTACCGTTCAGGACAAGGGGTCGAACGGGACAGTTCTTTGGCGGATAAATGGCATCGGGCGGCAAATCGATGCGGGTGTCAGCGCTTGCGACCGGACATTCAGGATTATGCTTGCGTCTCCGTTTACAGTCTCAATGAGGCGAATGGTCCGGTATGGAACTCGCTAGATCAAGAGAAGCCGTTCAACTTGGTTTCGGCTGCCAACTCCTCCATAGACGCCAAAGTTCTGGGAGCTTCAGCTCCTGGGGCGCCTGATGCGGTGACGGGTTTACCCGTCAGGCTCGATGTAGGAAATACACAATCGAGCGCAGGTGTTGGTACGTCGAGCCCAAGCAAAGCGGTAACTGGAGAAGGAGGGGCGGGAAGTCCAATCAAAGCTGCGAGCAGCGGACATGGTTTAGATGGCTACAGCGACACATACGAAGTATATGATGCGGAGCACGATGGGTACCGAGACATGCGCGCTCTCCTGGACTCCATGTACTTGCCAAAAGGCGTCTATCTCCAGGAGAGGTCGAACCAGTTCCCAACGCTGATGCAAATCGAGAGATACCGCGAGACACACCCCGATACGATCTCACGCCTATGCGAAGTGAAACGTACATTCATGCACGCAGAAAACCTCTGCAAAGCGGAAAAACACGACGCGGCGGTGCGTGAACTCGCACGCGGTTTCAAAGCGTTTGAAGGATTATTTGATTTGGGCAACTACAATCTCCGGCTTCTTGCCGAGATCTCCGTTCAAACGGTGTTGGCGCGAACCCCCAACGATGTTGACGCATTGTTGGTAGATTGCTTCGTCAACATGCTCGCGCGGCCAGCCGAGTTGTCCATCATCGCCCTTGACGCGGTGATTGGCACAAAGACGGACGAGTCGGCAGCGTACCTGTTGCGGGGTGGGTGTAAGGCGAGGTTGGGCAGGTTCACGGAGGCGCTGGAAGACTATGATCTGGCTGTCAAATACGATGATCCCAGAGCGGCGACACCGGAAATTTACTACCAACGGGGGGCGTGTCATAGCAATATCGATGGAGGGGGACATTGCCGGAAAGTGATTGACGACTTGGGGCGGTACCTTTCGATGGTTCCTCTGGACGGCCGGGTGAGTGACCTTTAGGCTTGCCAATGACCGGTCGGAGGCATGTAGATACTAATTGACTTTCCACAGAGAGTACCTGATGCGCATTACACAATTGCCGGCAGCCTGCTTGCGCTCGACAATGGCAAGAAGATGATTGACCACTTTTGGCATGGACTCCATGCTGAAGGCATCAGGCTTCCCTTTTACCCTACCAGTGAGTATCACGCATGTAATCTGTTTCATTTACCGCATTTTGTTCACTTTGCGAATCCCTCTCCGCAATCAAAAAAGTCATCAACAGCGACCTGAAAACTCGCCTGACATTGGAAGTCAAATACACCCTTTACATGGGTGGGGAACAAGTGCGACGGCAACCGTGGTCCAAAGTCCCTGCCAAAATCATGCGGAACGTGGAAGGGGATGAGCCGCAAAGCGTTGCCAAGGAATGCCTGGCGTGTGGAAGCGTCGGGAAAACCAGAACTTGCGCTGGATGTCGTGGTGCTCGATACTGCAGCACTAATTGTCAGGTACGTTTCCTTCTGGCGATGTTTATATTTTTCCAAAGCGGGCAAATTTAACTCGTCTCGTTCAGATTGCGCATTGGATCCGCGGCCATTCAACAGTATGCCGACGCATGGACCGTTCAGCAAATGCCGCTTAACGGATCCCCCACTTACCATGGATACCACTTTTTATTTTTGGGTTGGAGCAAGAAAGACGTCAAAATTTCTATGATTTCGGCGGGGGCGACACAAATGCAACTTTTTCCATCGCAACAACACGCAAAACATTTTTTCATTTTTCATTCTAAATTACAATAGAGGGGGGCCGGGGCACGCAATAGAGTTTCTGATTCATACGTAGGCGCCTGACCTGCATTCACTGATGGAAAGTCAAACCTGATGGCCTTCGGTTGTGGAGGTTCACATTGCCATTTCGCATTATATTTTAGCTCATATGTACAATACCAAATGAAAAACACTCCGTCATCCGGAGGCAGCTTTTTGCAGATACGCCTTCACATGTTTGTCCGCCGCGACATCCAGGGGTGTTTTCTCCTCTTTGTTGGTTGCATCTATATCGGCGCCAGCTTCCAAAAGGATCACTGCCGCTTCGCCCTGCGAGAAAAGCAAATTTGTTACGTGTCTGATTTGTGAAATGCTGTGTTGTGATCTTTTACCTGGCCTTCCTCGCTTGCGAGATGGAGCGGAGTGTTGCCTGCAGCGTCTTTAGCGTTGATCTGGAAAACACGGACGGGTTGAGGAATCATGCATCAGGTTGGCCCTTCTGCTAGGTACAGTATCAGTGTCAAGTGAATGATACCTTGGAATTCGCATCTATCAAAAGCCGCATGAAGGCAGTGTTTCCTCGTGAGGCAGCGCGGTGCATCGGTGTCTAATCATCCAGCGATATAAGTATGCCATTGTAGGCTGGAGCCATTTGCAAGATCCAAGCATTGGTACCTGCTTGAGTTTGTCCACTAGATTCACGTTCGCCCCATTTTCGATCAGGACCTTGCCGATCTATTCAAGGTGCACCGCGGCCGAATCAGGTCCTCTGTTTCCTAACAACAAGGCGTATCCTGATACCAAGGCAACATCATCCACTTACGTCCAAATGATTCTTTGATGCCGCATAATGCAGAGGAGCCTGCAAGTTTTCATTCTGTTCGTTCGGGTTTGCACCACCGCGCAAGAGT